CACCAGTAGTGCTTGAGTTCATGGAAAGCTTAGCTCAGCAACGGTATGCCCTTTCTTCAGAGAGCAGAAAGGGCAAAGAAGAAAAAGAAAAACACAGAGGAGAAAGGCAAGAGAGATGGGAGTAGCCATGAGAAACAAATACTTTACTTTGTTGTCACAGATTATGAACCCGAATCATTTTCTTGGCTAGCCTCACTGCCCTTATATAAGCTAATTAATACGGATCAATCATAGCCACGCGTTATGGAAGACAGACCTTAATAAACCCAAGCCAAGGTAATTTGTCTAATGAAGGGTGACAATTCCAGCCACGCAAAATTTTTATTCTTCTTTACTAGCATGTTTTTGGTAATGGAGTAACTAAGGATTGTTTTTTAAAATAATTTTTTTAAAAAAAATTAAATTAATATTTTTTTTATTTTTTTTTATAATTTTGATATATTAATCTTAAAAATAAAAAAATGATTGAAAAAATATTATTTTTATATATTTCAATTAAAAAATATTTTTGAAAAGTAATTTCCAACAAATATCAACCACACAGTAATCAAACTTGGATTTATAGATATATATAACTTAAAATATTGATTCAATAAATATAATTTCAATTCAAATTCAAAGATCAATTAACTTGAAATAATACAATTCAAATTTCAAATATAAGTAAAAATGTGAGAGTTGACTCGATCGATTCTGTTATAACCTATTTTTGGGTTATTTTCCTATTTATATTTTTTCTTTCTTTAAAAAAATTAAAAAATACAAAAAATATAAATAGTGAAAAAAGAAACGAGAGCGCCCTAAAAATAGTCAAAAATTGGTTGAGGAGGTTCAAAAATACAAAGATTAAAATTTGATAGTATTTTATTGACTGAGGAGAGCTAGGTTGGCAAAGAAAATGCAATTTGAGAAAGAAAAGTCCAAAATCAGATGTTTATGGACTCGATTAAATTTTATTGAAGGTTTAATTGAATTTATGGAGAGTTAAATTGCAAGAAAATTTGATTTTGGAGTCAATTTAGGCTTTAATTGAAAGAAATTAAAGTTCTGGGGTGAAATTACAATTTTTGAGAGTTAATTTGCTCAAATCAGGGGCTTAATTGTATAAATATTGAAGTTTGATGACCAATTAAGGACTTAATTGAAGAAATCCAAAACCAAGGACCAAATTGAAAAAGATGTATAAATAGAGGGGCTATAATTAAAACTAGACCAGAGATCCAATTGAAGAAATTAGAAGTTTATTGATCAATTGAGGGTCAAATTGCATAAATTTAAGACCAAGGACCAAAATGAAAAAGGCAGCCAACTTCAGGGCCACTTTTGGATTTTTGATAGGGATGCAATTGCATGGATTTTTTTAATTAAAATTGTAATTTAGAACTTGATTGAACAAATTACAAATTAAGGACCAATGTAAACTTTAACACATTTCCCCCCCTTTCCTTTTAAATAAAACAGCACATTCTGTCCAAAACGACAGTGTTTCATGCACTATTCACAAAAAAAGAAAGCTCAAAATGGTACCGTTTTGAACAGCACCATCATCCTTTTCTCGTGGACATGTAGAGAACAGGGGAAGAAGATTTTCTTTTGTTTCCCTGTTTTTATTGACTTCTCTTTCTCTCCTAAACATAAAAAAAAAGGCCAATCATAGCCACTTGTCTAACCTCTTACCGGTGGCCTACCATGGATAAAATAACAGAGGGGATAAGCCCCAGCTGGAGCCACCATCCACCCTATCCTGTCCCCTAACCGGATAGAGGTAGGGCATTGTCACCACCCTTTTGTGCCTATAAATACAAAGGTAGAGAAAAGGCACAGGGGGAGAGGCTTTAGAGACCTAAAAAAAAAGAGCTGAAGACCAAAGGAAAAAAGCAATAGGAAGAAGGTAGTAAAGAAAAAAAAAACAGAGAAAAGGAGAAGGAAAATAGAGGAGAGAAGAGAAAAGAATTGCCGCCCGGAGCCACCGCCATGTCACCACCAGCATCACCACCACCAGCGAGCACCACTGGGAGCCTCCACAGCAGCCACTATAGGTCAGTTCCCCCACCTCTCTCTTCTTCCTTCTTCCACTTTGTTGCTTCGTATTCCTCTGTTTTCATTTGCATGCAGAAAGTGAGCAATTCATGTTCTACAGCAAATGAAAATAATAAGATGGTTACTATATTGTACACAATAATGAGCTAATTATAAATTTTTGGGCTGGTGCTAGCCCATTTTTATGTTGGACCGGTACTGGCCCATTTGAACAAAAAAATATTAATGATTTTCTCGTGTTTTTATCCATTTTGGTTAATATCGATTTGTATTTTACCTTGTAAAAATACAAATTCGGTATTAAAATACCCAATTTTCATCAAAACTTTCAAAAATATTTTTGTGCATATGACCAAGTGTCTTAAAGCTAAATAAAAAAAATCATATTTTGTTTTTCACACACCAAAAAATAATATTTTAGTATGCATTTTGACTTTAATAACCAGTTTATTAAATTCAAAAGAACATTGACTAAAATTTCAAAAACAACAAAAAATTTATTTTGTTTTGTTTTAGTATCAGGGATTACAAATTTATATGTAAAATGTATTCCTGATATTAAAAAGGTATTTTTCATTAACAATATAGAACAATTAGGTTTTTACCTGATAAGATAAAAATCTCCTTACAGAAGAGGACTTTTCTTAAACCATAGATATATTAACAAATTTTTGACACCACAACCAGACCTTAGATTTTATCAGACAAAACAATGCAGCTTACATTAGGTAAGATGTATTTGGGGTGCTACTACCTTCTCTTTACGCAACTAGTTTCCGTATCTGATCTCTGAGACTAGTTAGGGTTTTTAGTGACCAAAATACTAGGTGGTGACTCCCATTCCAATTTTCACTGAAAATAAACAAGAATTCCTTGTCTCTTCATATTTTTCCTAGAGAGTGGACGATCGCTGTGACGCTGCACACGTGTGACAGACTTGATGAATCCAAGGATAACCTAGACGATTGATAAAAATATAGTTTGATTTAAAAAAAATTCAATATATCATTTTTTTTTGAAATATTAAGACAATAACATATTGGATCGACTTGGATCATGAGAACATAAACAACCTAAGTCGCAAAATTGATCTAGGTCATGCGACTGAGATAATTTTATAGAAAACAAACTGAGACAAATGATAAAATTTAATTCATAATCAAGTAAATATTAAACATGTTTAATGATGAAATTGGAAAAAAAATAAACAAAAAATATAAACAAAAACTCGAGTAACTGGATTAACCCGTCAAAGTTATAATATGTGTTATGAGATTGAGATAACCACAAAGAAAAAACCCACAATAAATCATGAAGTCCAATCTCCAGTAAACCTGGTGTTAAAGGATAAAATTAGAGAAAAAAACATTGATTTTTTTTAAAGAAAAAAAAACTCTTTGGCCAAAATAAAATTGAAACTTTCTAGTCGAAATTTGTCTAGCATTACTAGAATAGGTTGAGATTCTGATCGAGATGAAATTTATTCTGGTTTGTTCTATTTTTTAAACTGAAATGAGATATACTAGTCATTTTAGCCGGAACAAAACAAAATTCTTAACCTTCATTTCAATATGTTCTTATTTAGAGGAATCACTAGTCATATAACATGTGCTCCACGGCGGGGAATAATTTTTTTTTTAGCTAAAAAAATGAAGATGAAAATGACCATGTTCTTAATGAAAACCAAGTAATAAATTAAAAGGACCATGCACGTATCTAACTAAATAAATCGTTAACCTGTGTCTTTTTAGAGGTCATAATTTTGTTTTATTAGAAAAATGAAAAAACATGTTTTTTTAAAGTCTTTTCTTTTTAAAAATTATAATATCGAGAAGCTCACCATGACTTGGGTTAATTGCTATGTTGTGGGGAGACAAAAATTATCCTCAATGCAAAACAAATTCATATGATGCTAGGATTTTAAAGAATTCAAAGAAAATCTGAGATTTGGGTCATCGAGTTGACTGGACTGAACAATTTTAAGAAACTTAGACTGCATTTAAAATGTAAGGAATATACTTTTTCTAATATGATTGAAAGATATATATAAAAAATATAACAAAACAAAAAGCCTCGAGCGAACCTAGTAGCTAACTCTGATCAACAAATAAAAAATATAACCCAGGACATGAAATTAGAATGACCTCATGATTAAGAAAGCGGAAAAAAATACTGGCTAAAAAACCATTTCAAAAAAAGTGTTTTAAAATAACGTCGAAGTCCACTCGGGCTAATCTTTAAGATCTATGACCCGAGTCATGTGACCAAGGTGACATCATTAAAAACAAACCCAAAAAAACAAAGAAGCAAAATTCTTAATAAAAAAATATTGAGGATAAAATTGAGAAAAAAATAATGCAAAACAAAATAAATAGTAATTAAAAGAATTAAGACTAAATTCAACCTAAATTCAACCTAAAATTAACATTTAGTGAGAAAATTAAACAAATTAAATGTTTAAGGATGTAATTGAAAAAAATTAATTACAAGAATTAGAACTAATTTTATATAAAAATTAAATGAAAATAAATACCTAGAGATGTTATTAAAAAAAAAATAAATAAAGAGATTACAAAAAATCTAACCTCTGAGTGATGTAGGACATGAGGAAGAGGTAGTTGTGTGCAGGCATGGGGATCAGATAGTAGGAAGTTAATACTGTTAGTTAGTTAAATTGTTAGTTCTCAGTCCTTTTAGGATTCTATTTTCTATTTTTATTTATCGTTAGTTATTAGTGTTGGAAACAAATCAACTTGTTTGATATTAGTTTCCCAATCCTTTTAGGATTCTATTTCTAGTTTCGTTTCTTTTAAAAGTAGAGTCAGGATTATTGTTTTGGCATTATTATTCAATTATCAATAAAATTGTTCTTTGAACACAAGTCCTCTCGTGGATTCGAGATTATTTAGCTTCCGCTACGTCAAGTGGTATCAGAGCCTACGCTCTCAGCAAAATTTCTGATGGAACGCGATGATATTGGGAGTAGTTGTTCGACCGACGAGGATCAGCGAATAAGGGCAATAGCAACCGGGGTTGTTACTGCCGCCATCAATGACATACGTCCACTATTCGATGGGGTTCCATTACTGCAAGCTCAGCTTGAGGAGGTTCTTCAAAGATTAGAAGCGTTGTCTCCTAATGGCAACAGGGTAGACGACCAACGACGTGGAGGGGCAGCTGAGATCACTCGTGGCCCGATGTCCTTGACCCGTAATCCTGAAAACATACCACAATACCAAAACACACAATCATTACCTGTGATGTCGTCAACAAACTCTCAATTTATTGAGTTAGAAGATCGGGCTCCAAGGAGAACCCAAGGTGACCGAGATTATAAGCTTAATGTGGAGATGCCAACCTTCAAAGGAACACAGAACGTGGATGAGTTTTTCTCTTGGATCGACGAGGTTGAGACGGGGTTTGGGGTGATGGACTACTCTGAAGATCGAAAACTCAAAGTGGTGGCCAATAAACTAAAAGGATCAGCTGCAATTTATTGGAAGTATTTAAAAAACAAGCGAGTGCTAGACGGAAAACCTCCGATTGCAACGTGGGAGAAGATGAAGAGCAAATTCATGGGTAAATTCTTACCTCCTGATTATGAGCAACGTTTATACGTTCAATTACAGAATTGTAGACTGGGGAATCGGACTGTGGAAAAGTGCATTGACGAGTTCATTCGATTAAATTCACGAAACTTGCTACCAGAGAATGAAAACATGCAAATCGCAAGGTTTAGAGGAGGTTTGAAACGGGACATACAAGACCAAATGAAGATGCTTAATACATTCACCCTCGGACAAGCTTTCGATTTGGCACGAAAGGCTGAAGAACCAATCCGAGCACCATCTGTACGACCCAGGTTTACAAACCAGCAGTATCAAGCAGGACTAAGCAGAGTGACACCCACAACTGAACCAGCCAATGAGATCGTGGCTACTGAAAATCGGCCAAGAAGAGCTGCACCACAACAAGCACCGAACCCCTATGCTAGACCAGCGCCCTCACTATGTTACAGATGTCATAAACCAGGACATCGTTCAAATAAATGTCCGCAAAGACCTGCTGTCAATTTTGTGGAAGGTGATTATGAAGTAGAAGGGGACGATGACCATGACAAAGAGGTGGTCGATGGAATTAAGGATGGTGAGGAGGATGACTACATTGGAATGGTGATGCGCCAACCGTGTGATATTCAAGCAGAAAAAGGTGGGAATGAAAAGTTCAATTGCATTGTTCAAAGGGTCTTCTTGACACCCAAAAGGGGACCCGAGATTTCAACTCGCCATCAAGTTTTCCAGACCAATGCCATTATCAATGGAGTGATAGCGAGGGTAGTACTCGACATAGGAAGTTCTGAGAACTTGGTGTCCCAAGAACTGGTTCGAAGGGTGAAACTGACCACTGAGAAACACCCACAACCCTATGGTCTACGTTGGATTTGAAAGGTGGAAGGCGCAGCTGATGTAGTTAATGAAGTGTGTAGGGTACCGTTGTCAATTGGTAAGAATTACCAAGATGAAATTGTGTGTGATGTAGTGGAGATGGATGCTTGCCAGATTCTGTTAGGAAGACCATGGCAATACGATGTGGACATTGGTTTCAAAGGAAGGGCTAATACCTATGAATTCTGGTGGAAAGGGAAGCATATCATTTTGAAACCACCTATTTTAAAGAAAGAGTCACGACAAGAGGAGGGAGAAAGTTTCCTAACCATAGCAACTAAACATGTGGCTGAGGAGTGCAAAGCTTGTGCGTTACTAGCTCAAGAGGAGGATACAAGAGGGGAAACAATACCTGAAAAGATCCTCCCTTTAGTAACTGAATTTTCTGATCTGGCACCTACAAAGCTACCAATGGGTTTGCCACCAATAAGGGACATACAACATCATATTGATCTAATTCCAGGAGCCAGCTTACCAAACCTAGCACACTATAGAATGAGCCCCCAACAACATAAGATACTACAGGATCAAGTTGAGAACTTGTTGTATAGAGGATACATCCAGGAGAGCAAAAGCCCATGTGCAGTACCGGCATTACTAGTACCCAAGAAAGATGGCACCTGACGAATGTGTATCGACAGCCGAGCAATTAATAGAATCACCATCCGTTACCGGCATCCAATACCCACTGTCCAAGACATGATCGACCAATTGGGAGGGGCAAAAGTGTTCTCCAAAATCGATCTGCGAAGCGGGTACCATCAAATTCGGATTAGACCTGGGGATGAGTGGAAAACTGCGTTCAAAACACGCGAAGGGCTGTATGAATGGTCTGTGATGCCATTCGGTCTCTCCAACGCTCCAAGCACTTTTATGAGACTCATGAATCAAGTATTAAGACCTTTTTCATGCAAATTTGTCGTCGTTTACTTCAACGATATTCTTATTTACAGCCCTGATGAGGAGATACACTTGCGACACCTAAGGGAAGTGTTGATAATATTGCGGAAAAATCACCTGTACATAAACAAGAAAAAGTGTAACTTCTTGCAAGACCAGCTGGTCTTCTTGGGGTTTGTCGTGGGAAAGGATGGGGTTCAAGTGGATGAGACCAAGGTCAAGGCAATTCGTGAATGGCCAACCCCTTCAACTGTGGCAGATGTGCGAAGCTTCCATGGGTTAGCAACGTTCTACCGAAGGTTCATTAAAAACTTTAGCAGCTTGGCGGCACCGTTGACTGAGTGCACAAAAAAGGGTGGTTTCCGTTGGGAAGAAGAGCAAGAAACGAGTTTTGCTATACTGAAAGAGAAACTAAGCACTGCACCCGTCCTCGCGTTGCCAAATTTTGACAAATTATTCGAAGTTGATTGTGATGCTTCAGGGAAGGGAATTGGGGCTGTGTTATCCTAAGAGGGCAGACCAGTGGAATTCTTTAGTGAAAAATTAAGTAAGGCGAGGCTGCGATGGACAACTTACGAGAAAGAATTTTATGCCGTCTTTCGAGCTCTCATGCATTGGCAACATTACTTGATCCAAAAAGAATTCGTGTTGTACAGTGATCATCAAGCTCTGAAATTCATCAACAGCCAACACCACATGAACAATATGCATGCCCGCTGGATCACATTCATGCAAAAATTTACCTTCTCCTTAAAACACAAGGTTGGACTGATGAACAAGGTCGCCGACGCATTGAGTAGACGGACCACATTGTTGGTGACAATAGAGACTGAGATCACAGGTTTTGAGACTATGAAAGAACAATATATCAATGATGAAGACTTCAAGGAAGTGTGGAACAAGTGCAGCACCCACTAAAATGTGAGTGACTTCCTGATACACAGTGGCTTCTTATTTAAAGGCAATAAACTATGCATTCCAAAGGGGTCTTTACGAGAGAAAATCATGCGAGAACTTCATGGAGGCGGATTGGGCGGTCACCTGGGACGTGACAAGACAATCATGTTGATCACCGACCGTTACTACTGGCCACAGCTGAAGAGAGATGTGGGGAAAATCGTCCAACATTGTCGAGTTTATCAGGAAGCAAAAGGACAGACCCAAAATACCGGTTTATACACTCCCCTGCCCATTCCGAAGACAATTTGGGAGGATTTATCGATGGATTTCGTGCTTGGATTACCCCGAACTCAGAGGGGAAAAGATTCCATCATGGTGGCGGTTGATCGGTTTTCAAAAATGACGCATTTCATCGCCTGTAAAAAAACAGCAGATGCAAGCCATGTTGCTGACTTGTTCTTTCGTGAAGTAGTACGCTTACATGGCGTTCCAAAGACCATTACATCAGATCATGATGTCAAGTTCGTGAGTCATTTTTGGAGGACTTTGTGGAAGAAATTTGACACCAAACTGCAGTTCAGCAGTGCTTTCCATTCGCAAACAGACGGACAAACGGAGGTGGTGAACCGTACTCTGGGAAATATGTTATGATACATCAATGGAGAAAAACCAAAACGATGGACCTGGACTTGGCTCAAGCAGAATTTGCATACAACAGTATGACCAATCGCTCAACCGGAAAACCTCTTTTCAAGATCGTATATACTCAGCAACCCAAACATGTGTTGGACCTGGTCACATTACCATTCCAACCAAAGGACAGTAGAGCTGGGGAAAATCTAGCTGAAAGGGTACAACAACTACATTCGGAGGTGCGAGCTAGCTTGGAGACTGCTAACGCTGCTTACAAATCTGCTACCGACCAGCATCGGCGCAAGAAAGAGTTCACAGAGGGAGATTTGGTGATGGCCTACCTGCGAAAAAATCGGTTCCCAGGAATCCGAACTAAGCTACAAAAGCGAAAATATGGACCCTTCAGAGTCGTCAAGAAAATTAATAACAACGCCTATATCTTACAGCTACCAGATGATTGGAACATCTCCAATACTTTCAATGTGGCCGATCTGTCAGAATACCATGAGGACGTGCCTTTGTATTCGGATAACTCGGGACGAGTTTGTTTCCAAAAGGAGGAGACTGATGTAGGACATGAGGAAGAGGTAGTTGTGTGCAGGCATGGGGATCAGACAGTAGGAAGTTAATACTGTTAGTTAGTTAAATTGTTAGTTCTCAGTCCTTTTAGGATTCTATTGAGGATAGCTTGCTATTATACATAGTGTAAAGAGATTAAGTTAAATCATTATTAGGAAATACAAAGGAAAAGATACGTTTGTTTTGTACATCTTTTTCTTTGTTTAGTAACAAGTTTATATAGATATGAGATATCATAATGAAATATTATGATTATTAATGAAACTATATGATAGTTAATGACATAATTATATTTTGAATTAAATTGAATACTTACTACTTAGTTTTATCCCAACATTCACAAATATTAAAATCAATTAAAAAATTTAAAAGAAATAATCTAAAAAAATGATAATCTCATTAACATATTAAGTTCCAAGTGTCCAAGTACCAAATGTCTTTTTTTTTTATATATATATATTATAAATATCTATATAATAGTATTAGAGAATCCATCCATCACTATTTTCATTTAATTTATTATATAATAAAAACCAACATTTAGAAATATTTAGAAAGAAATATACTTTTCCATATTAGATAGAAATCGTTTCCTCTTTTGTATTTACTTGTAAACTATACCATCAAGACTAGCCTTGAGAAATGCAAGTCAAGGTGAATTGTCTACCTTATTGTGGAATGCGATTGAGGAAGACATTGCTGACTTTTCTTTTTTATAATTAATCCATCTTGTTAAAGCCAAAGCAAGACTATAATGTAACATGTGATATATGATATTTTTCTTCACCCTGCGGAATTCTTACTTCATTCACAATCATAAAATCACACCTTATCTAGTTCGGTGTGTCACTCAATATCTCTGCTCCACCAACTTGTTCCCACATATCCTTTTCGAGAGACTTAATCTTCGATTCCCCCCCCCCCCCCACACTTTAATTTTTTGTGAAAAA